TTTCTCTTTCACATTACCGCAAATTATACATGAGTTGCAATACCGCAGAATATCTGCTAAAATGTTTTTCATACTCCCACCTTGACGGGTATATTAGATACGTCAAATGTTTGCAACGCATTACGATATGTCTTGATGAAGTAACGCTAAAAAGTTTCGTTTACATTTCATTGGCCCGTCTGCTGTCTGCCTGCCTGCGATAGTTAGCCTCGATTATGATCGCAAGGCATTCCTTAAGCATATCACCATATTTTTAAAAGTTCATTTAAGATGAAAACATTTTCATTTATGTTCAATTTTTTATCAAGAAAGTAAATATTTGTTTTTTACTACTTACCTGACTCAAAAATATTATTATTATTATTATCATTATTTAAAATTTTTAAAGCAAATCAAGTTTGAAAGTTAGTTTAATAAATAGATTCAAGAATTGATTCGAGCATAATTATCAAGAAACCATATAAAGAAGGCAACAAGTAAGTACAGTTTTTACTTTATAAAATGCTGCCAAGTTTTATAAAACCAGGATTTAAAAAATACACGTTATACAAAAAGTATATATGGAATATGATCTGTATGAGGCATACATAAATAAATAAGTTATAAGATGCGTAGACATGTAATGTATGAGATAGATGAGGAATATATGGTGTATAAGGTAGATAATTATACAAGATACATAAGGAGCGCAAAGGAGTTTAACGTAGACGAAGTATGTAAAGGATTTAAGCTATGTAATGTATATAAAATATATAATTTATATAATGTATTTAAGTTATATAAAGCCTATAAGGCTTATAAAAAGTAGCCAAGCTATAGTGATTATATAGAGTATATGTAATATATAAGGCATACAAGGTATACGAAGTATATAAGAATTATAAATTGTACAAGATAAGATGGATATACGGAGCTTCTTTTTTTTTTTTTTGAGCATAGCGGGAGCACACTGCCAACTTGTGGTCCTCTACTGGACTCGAAGCCATCCCGGAACAACTTCCGCATTACCTCGAGATGCACACTTATTGAGTTTTGATCGTTACTACATCATCCTATCTCGTCTAAGATTAGGGATTCGAATGTTGCTTTCGTATGGCTTTCCATCGAAGTATGTCTTGCACAAAACCGCATTGCATTTCTTCCATCTTTCGCTATCCGTTACCATAACCGCTAACTCGTTACCTAGGATAATTTCTATTTACGAGATCTGAAATTTATAGAGTATGGCACACAAGGTATGCAAAGCATATAAAATAGATAAAGTATATAAGATATACATATAACATATATAAAGTACATAAGATAGATTGAGTATAGAAAGCATATGAAATATGTAAAGTATATAAGGCATATAAGGCATACAATCTATGAAACATATATAAAGTAGATAAAGTATAAAAAGTACATAAGGTAGACAAATTACTTTCATACAGTATATAAGTTATATAAGTATACTAATATATAAGGTACATAAAGCAAATTTTTTTATGTTAGGTAGGTTATGTAAGTTATACAAGGCGTATAAGGTAGATAATGTATACAAAGTAGATAAGGTAGACAAAGTATATAAAGTATATAAAGTAGATAAGGCAGATAAAGATAAGGTATATAAGATATAATAATTTGAGGATATAAAGGATACGATGTGCATTAGATACATAAGGTACATAAGACATACAAGTTACGAAAAGGTATATAACGTAGATAAATTATATAAATAATAATAATAAAGAGCAATTTTATGGAGGATGAAAGATATACAAGTATATAAAACATATAAGGTAAGTTATGTAAAGTATATAAGCCATATAAGGTAGATAACATGTCTAAAGGACACAACGTAGATAAAATGTATATAACGTTTGGAAAAATTTACAAAGAAAACTAATTTTATCATAAGGTGTATAAGTTATTTAAGGCATATAAATATTATATGGTAGATAAGTTATGCGAGTTATATAAGGCATATAAGATAGATAAGGCAAATAAGGTCTATAAGATATATTAAGCTATGTGAGATATACAAGGTATGTGGGGTAGAAAAGATAAGGCAAATAAGATCTATAGGATATATTAGGCTTATGTAAGATACATAAGGCATGTAAGGCATAAAACATCACTCAAATCCACGTGAGTAGCCGAAGGCGTGGAATCTCGACTAGCAAGTCAATGGTCGTGGGTTCGAATCCCAAGTGCGGTAGAGTTTTTAATAAAAAGCCGATAGCCTTAGATGATAGAGCTTTTTAAGACTTTACTCTTAGAATTTATTTCTCTGGCAAAATTAATAATAATAATAATCTTGTCCTCAACTATCCTATACAAGCTGGTAAAGGGTATTAAAGTATTCGACTCAAGCCAAATACAACTTATCAGCTCACTTTAATTTTATTATTATTTTCTCTCGTTTCCCTTTTGTAGAATTTAGTCGAAAAAAAAAAATCTTTATTTTTTGGCTATTAACATTGTAAAGTGGGCGTGTTTACAATTGCAGAGAAAAAAAAAAAAGTGGAATAAAAATGATGATGGAATTCTTCTTTCCTTTTTTAAAGGTATGCGGAAAAAGACACAGGAAATAAATACAAGTTTTTATTTTATGCATTCATGTATACATACACACTTGCATTTTTACTGGTCAAGGATACAGTCTTGTGCTTTTCGGAGGAAAACAATAAGCAAAAAAGATATTTTGCTTAGATTTACAGTTAACTTTTTATTACAATTATTATCGCAAGATTACTAAATAAAAATGAATGCGGATTTAATTTTTCATTTAAATTTAATGCGAGGATCGAACGTCATTCCACAGTTAAAGGATTAATATTGAGACTTTTGAGAACAAATCTTTTTTTTTTACCAACCAAAGTACTTGACCATTGATTGCTTCGATATGTATCTAGAAAGCAAAACAATAAAATTCTTTATCTTACTTTCGGTTCTTTTACTTATCAAAGGGCGTTAAGATCATCTCTTATAGAATTGGTAAGGGACTGAAGATCTGAAAGAGTTTATTTCCCTTTAACTTTATTAGCGATAAGTTCTGAAATTATTGAGTGCTCGTAGTGAGACGAGACATTATTATAGGAATCGACAGATTGTGTTTGCGAAACCATGACACAACTTAAAGAAATCTTACCTTACTGTTCCTCCTAGCGAACTTATTCAGGTGAAAGTTACCCAAGGAATATCTGACTATTCCTCTGCCTCTTGATCGTGTGTATAACTTTTTCAAGACTAAAGATGAAGATTCAAAGTGTGATCAACACAGAAGACCTTAAGTGTACTGCACATTGACAGGCATCTCTTTACACTGTAATCTGCCTTGAGCAAGGGCAATGTGCAAAATTTTAATCTATAATTTAAATAAATTTTTCATCATTCATTTGCTAACTAAGGCACAATTGCAGAAATTTTTGCCGAAATCTTTTATAAAACTATTTCACTTGACTTAATGCAACTTAACACAATGACTTTTCAAAATAAAGTATTATGCGGAAAATAGTTCAAAGAAGTGATGCGCTCTTAACTTTTGCCAATAGGATCCATCCATCCTTGGACTAAGACACGTCAGTCTACCAAAATTTCATCAAAATATCTCAATAAAGGAACGCCAAACGCACGGACGGACAGACAAACTTCAATGGATTCACTTTTTCAAAATAAGGCGTCAGATGCGAAGCGCTCATAAAAGTGACCCGAATATTTGCAATAGCGTTCGTCTTTGAACGAAATTTCAACGAAATATCTCAAAAGTAGCGAAATGTCATTAGAAATCAAAATACCAGACACACGGACAGACAAGCCTGGATTAATTCACAAACTGATTCTGAATGGATCGGTATAATGAAATGTGGGTCTTAATGTGGGTATCTTAAGCTCTTCGTCCGGACAATCTTAATACATCTTCTATCAAAAATGGTGTAGGTAGGTACCACAAGTAAAAGCACTGTGCATTTAAATACCCTACATGGCTTCGCTTAATGCATTTATTAACATAACGAGTTCCCAAGACCAAGCCTTGTAAGGAAAATGAGCGAAGTAGCTCGGGAGCTTTTCAATAGCTTTCGTCCTTGGGGCGAATTTCACTAAAAATTGCGATATTACGTTGAGCACAAACAATAAGGCGGACAGACAGACAGACAGACAGACAGACAGACGGACAGACAAGCCTTAAATCAATTCAGAACGTGACAGAAAGATTCTGAATTGATCCGCATAACAAAAGAAGGATTTATCTCAAATCCTTTTGAATGAGTGGCGTAGGATATAATAACAAGAAAAGAAAAGAAAAAAAAAAAAAACTAATACATAAGTGGTTTATATCTCCTTACACATAACAATAGTAAGTTCCTTACTTGTTAAAAAGATTCATTTTTTCCTTTTGTTTGCCGAAAAATGAAGGTAAACTGTTCTGCTTTAATATTGATTAACCTTAACTGGTGGTTGTTTGATTGCTTGCTTGCTTGCCTGCTTGCTTGCTTGCTTGCTTGCTTACCTGCTTGTTGGTTGGTTAGATAGAAGGTCTCTCTCTCCTTTGATTAGCTAGAGTGCGATTTTTGTATTTTCTTTTGTCTGTTTTATTGTGCTATCATTTTTCCTGCAATTTCTACAATTTCTCTCCTCATTTTTTTATTTTAAATACAATTGTAAGATCAAATGAGCAAAACTAATCGATTCGAAACGTTATCATTAGTCAGTCAGCAAGAGAAAAAAGAAATGAAATATTAATGCAAGCTCTATATATGAAGTTAGTCGAAGAAGTTGAAAGTATTCAAGTAAGTTAAAGTTTTAACGGAGGGGTTGATTTATTAAAAAGTATTAGTAGTATTTTGTGCTTCTTTTTTTTTTCTTTTTTTTTAAGTAAGTACGCAAGTAAGTACCCAAGTATGTATGTATGTATGTATGTATAATGTGTGTTTTTGTGTATAGATTATGAAATTTATTAAGAATTTCTCGTTTAATTTGTATTTCTTCTCGCTTTTTATTCTTTCTCGTTCGTACAGTTTAAAACCGCCCCCCAAAGATGGTGTTACAAAAAGTAATCCTTCCAAACGTCATCGTGAACGTTTAAATGCTGAATTAGATTTATTGGCTTCATTGCTGCCATTCGAACAAAATATTTTAAGTAAATTAGATCGACTGAGCATACTAAGGCTGTCTGTTAGTTATTTAAGAACAAAAAGTTATTTTCAAGGTAAGTAAACTTTATTGTTTATTGTTTTTTGATACATTTCTCTCTCCTTTTTTTTTTTGGTCCTCGAACTTAAGATTAACTCGCCTAAGCAAAGAAACTTGCCAAGGTTGGCATCTAATAATAAATTTTGACGAACAGTTCGGGGCAATACAAAAGTTTCAATTCCTCATTGGAAATTGCTCCAGGCTAGCAGGCTAGAAATGTCTCTTTGATCCAAAAATTATAATGAGTTTTTAGGAATCAGGAGAATTTTTTTTAACTGCTCCGCACCTTTCAACATTTTTTTTTTTTTTTTTTGGGGGAGTTTAAAGCATGATAGCCAGCCACCTTTCTGGCTACAAGGATGTGCTCAACCTATTTAGTATTATTATAAACATGAATTCTCATAGCATAGAATTTCTCTCTCCAGAAATACGATTTACCTTCCCAACCCTATTTTGCAGCAAAATTTTACGAAATAATTTACTTTACCTCAAAGAGAAGGCACCTTATTATTAACATTCTGTTGCGAAAACCTAATTAAGAGAACAAAAACCTCCTCAGTTTTTTACTACTAGAACTACTTCAGTGGTTCTCTGGCAAACGTAAAAATATTCCGAGAGAAATTTCTATAACATGGGACCGCTCACTTACTTTTCTGTCCACATTCGCAATCTATTTAATAACAACAGGAAAATACGGTTATCCCCTACAATTTTTACATGAATTTAAATCTCCATTCAGAGAATACACCTTTACAATTTGTATACCTACTTGCTATATACCGTTTGTGGTGCAAGAGTATATTGAGCCTTTTTTTACACCAACCTATTCAGAAAGTGAGCCTGAGTTTAAGTTTGTCTATCCATTTGCCTATATTGTTATCTGATGCTCGACCTATAGGTTGTAATTGTTTAAATATTTTGATGAAACTTGGCACAACGACATCTATCGGCTCCATGACGAACTGTTTTGAAAACGGTTCGAATTGGTCCACCTTTTCGACTACTCCCCATATGTCGCACTATTCTAAAAAGTCCTTATATGGAAGAAAAATTTGCAATTTTCAAAATTCCTCGGCAAAAGTGAACCCTAAATAGTAGTATTTCGGTATTGTAAATAATTTAATAAAACTTTGGTCCGGCTGGGCCACACTTAGCAAACTTAATTTACTTCCAAAAATTATATTATTTTCAGTTTTTATGATGAAAAACTAGGAATTATACCTTCTCTCTATATACCTTTTCACGTGATCCCTTATATATGTTAGGGTCCAAAAAAATAGATCTCTTTGATCCAAATTTCTTATTGTTGATTTTTTGCTAAATTATTACTATGCACCAATATCCATTATGCAATAATAATAATTAAATTATTCTATTAAAGAATTTACGTGTTGTGAGAAATCTTATATGGGATAAGGTCCAACAATTCAAATTTGGTTCAAGATTTAAGGTTTCTGAGAATATTTATATTGCAATGATACCCAAAAAATAGAACTACATATCGGCTTCGGCTAAATATCAAAACAATTGCGACCGACCTGTACGTTGAGAACAAGAATAGAGCGGGGCGGACGGACGGATAGTCAGATATATGGAGAGGCAAGTTTAGGCAAACTTGCAAAGTAATTCTAAAGTGATTGGCGGGTCTTCCTTAAATCAAGGTATTGTATACATCTGCACAAACGTTATGTATCTACGTAGCATGGGTACTCACCCTCTCTCTACGCCCAAAAACACATCTTAGGAAGATAAGGGTTAATAAGAGAGAAAGCGCAAACAAATTTGACACTTCAAGGTCTAAGTTCTTCTCTTTTAACTTTCGACACCAATTTCAAAGGCTTCTTGTATGCGAAAATTAACCATAAGAATAAAAAAAATTAAACACAAAAAATCATTAAAATCATTGGTTTCTGAAGCGATCGCTTAGTCTAGTAGATAAAAGGCGCAATTATGAAGTCGACATAAACCATTGATCGATTGGCCATAAACATCGCGGGCTACCGATCATCTCTCTTTTCTTTCCGACCATCATCTTCTCATTTCTTTCCGACTATGACTGTGCCTATGTACGCATACAGGTTCATATTTAGTGTAAAAAAAAAAAAAAAAAAAAAACAAAATTACGTTGTTAACGATTTTGCAAAAAATTCTATTAGTTAACTGCCTATCCTTGTGTCTGGGTTGTTTTCTTCGAATATCAGCGAAAGGATAATCACCTTGAAAACCATGACTCATTGATTTATACCAAAGTAATGGTTATTTAAAAAGGCCAAACTGTACAACAATTTTAACCGCTTGCTGTAAAAACCGCATAAGGATTAATGGTATAACAGCGAGAAAGAACATTAGGCGATTTATTCTTGCTTTTAACAGAATTATAATAAAAATTTACAACAACAATGGCAATAAAATGAAAAAAATAAATAAATAAAATGAATGAAATAAGCAAAGACAAGCAAATCCTAATAAACAAGCCACGTACTGTCCATTTAGAATGCGCGTAAGAACATATGTTTTCTCTAGGGGTATGTGTGTATACAACACATATACATACATATGAAATATATGTATGAAATAAAATAAAAAAAACGGTCTTTTACTCTGTAGCACACTAATAATATAATTTAATGTTTAGAGCTGTTACACCGCCTAGCAGACGGTGCTCTATTGTTTTGAAAAATGTTCTAAAACATTATTTCGAAAAAAAGCAAAAATAATAATAAAAATAAAAGGGAAATGTTTTTAAGGTGTGAGTTTTAAAGTGCTTAACGAAGCGGGGGAAACTATATATATTGTTCTTAACCACCTTAGATAGATAGATATAGTTATATATATATATATATATATATATATATATGTATATATATATGTATAGGGTTAGTTTGGTTTCAATATTTTATTGTAAGGATAACTAAGGTAACATTTTTGTATAAAGAACTTTGTTCTTATTTTTTTTTTTTTTCAAATACAACATTTTCCACATATAAAAAGTAAGAGTTAATAGACCATTGTGAACAGAGGTCATTGACTCAATAAAGATAACAAACGTGTTACAATATGTACAGGGACTCGTTGGCTAATATAATAGAAGCATTGTGTTAGAAAACTAACACTCACAAGGGCTACTAACCTTTCTTGAAGAGAAAAGGAACAAAAAAATAGTCATATGCTTAAGTATAAAAATTTTTATTTGGTTGACAAAGCTTACAATAAAAAAAATCAAAAAAAATTTATTTAATTTTTCTCGTTTATTTTTTATTTTTTTTTACTTATGCTAAGCGAAATGCCAACCCCTAACTAACGTTATCTAACTAATAAATTCAATGACTTAGAATTTACAATTTTTTTTTTTAATTCAAGTTCAGCGGAAAATTTCGCTTCCTTCGTAAATAAGAAAAAGTTAAAGAACTGAATTCAAGTAACAAAAGGTTACTAATCTTTTTATTTTTACATCGAAATTGTCAGCTTTTTCATCTAAAATTTCTTTACCAATGTAGTTTATTATTTAGTTTAGACCTTTCCCTTTCAGATATCATCTGCTCAATAGCCTGTAGGGTTGCATTCTGATAATAATATTCGATTAGATTGATAGATAGTATTTATGCACTTTTTTCTTTTAAATCATATATATGTAATAGCTCTCTTGTTCCGTTAACCCAAGTCAAAGAACCAAAGTTTCTGATGGCAAAATTAAAACTTTTCTATCTCTCTCCATCCACAGTTCCGCACCACCTAACGTTCTTTGTTTTTTTCTACATGCCTTCTCTTTCTTCCTCTTCTTCCAAACAGTCACTTCCTAGAGCTGTCAAAGCTTGGTTTTGTCTCTCCTTCCCCTCGCTGCTGTATCACTCGTTAACAGCCTTCATATTGTTTTGTCGTTTCTTTTTCTCCCTCTATCTGCCTTTTCCTCTTCCTTTGGCTCTTTCAGAACCAGCAGTCAGTCAGTCTCTTTCTACAGCTCTATTCCATTTTTTGTAACTCTCCCTCTCTTCTTTTATCACTTCTATATATGCTTTCTTGTTTTTTTGCTCTCTCTTTCTTTTCTCTCCAGGCAGCAGTGTTATTTTTCCCACAACGCTTCTTCCGCTGTTTTTGCACCACGCTTTCTGCGTTTATCTCTTTACCAGTCTTTACGACGAGATGATGTCTTTTCTTTCTTTTTAATCTATAATTCCGATATTTTAAAGATTTTTATTGCTCAATGGAACTGCGAAAATTTCGATCTTACTGTGACTACGAAAGAGAATTCTTCGCATATCTCTTTGAATTGTCTTCTGCTCGGTCTCTCTCTACACATTTCGAATTCTTAAATTCTTTTTCTTCGTCTCCTTTCTTCTTTGCTTCTCCCCGGGCTGAGGGATAAAAGAGTTTTTCTCATAATCATGTCGAAAACGGAGCATTTCTTGCTAAAGCTATTTAATCTTTACCCGAATTCGCCAGAAATGACTAAAGAACATTTTTTTTATTTAACAATAAATTCCGCTAACTCTTTAGTTTCTATGAACTTCTTTGACAGTTTCATTTACTTAATGGCTCAATCACGTGCACAAGTCTAGCAACGACAACAAGATGTGAAAATACATAAATAAATAAATAAATAATAATAATAATAATCCGAAAGACTTGTACAAAAAAAAAAAAAAAAAAAATGGTCGTAAGCAAAGTAAATATTTTGACAATTAGCGGTCAATGGTATAGACAGTTAAATAGATATTTAATAGTCTCTTGCGATTTATCGCACATTCACAAGCATTATATTAATTGCAACTTTTAATATACTCTTACTACTCCTCCAACAAATCTATACACACGTGCCTTTAACTCTCGCTAAGAAGTAAAGAACACCTTTGTTTAATTTCCTTTAAATCCATTTCAATTTTACTTAAGGGCAAAAAAGCAAAACCAAAAAAAAAAAGTCACTCGGCTTACTTGCAATTGTCAATGGCAAGGCACGTGCTGTATTATCCTTAAAATATATCCGATATTTACTTTTAATTTGTTTTGGGTACCTCCATA